TTCTTTCACACAGTGTGTTTCTAAAACTATCATAATATACCCTGCTTGTGATCATCGACTGTTTATTTAGATGCATGTCAAATAACCCATTTACAGGATATTATTTATATCAGAAAGCCAAGAACTCAGTATGAGTATAAATTCTTAAATCTTGGACTAACCTGTGTTCAGCCAAGGTAATTTATATCACTTGTTGTAGAGCTATCTCTTCTAAATCTATATTGTCAGTGCAACATTGTACAATTTTGCACTTGATATGCAGTCTGTTTTTCATATATAGGGCGAATGAGACACAAAAGCAGAACCAACCAGAGTCCAATTTGAATCAAGAACACTTGTTTTGATTCAGATTTTAAAGTTTCAGAATGCCTTTTCTTTATTTTGACTCCATGGACAAGCTGTAAAAAAACATTCCCAACCAGATTACTTTTTGGTGCTGCATAAAAAGATGATTCTGAACTCCAAAGGGAGGAACTGCCTACTCAACACATGGGGTAGACATAGAAGTTTGAGCCTACCTGGATAGATGATGTTGACCATCCAAATATTCAAGAAGAAAGAAATCAAAGGAATAAGTTGTGTCTCAATGAAACAGCCTATAAATCAAGTATGTTCTTACACATTTCCCAAAGATGAGTAAGGAGAGTGGTCAGTGACATAAGAGCCCAGACACATAGACATTTTTTTTAACAGGATTATGTAATAAAATGTGCTGCGTTCTGTTCTTTAATTTTCCACTAAGCGATCTCTACCAAAACAGTTTTTCCCCTATTTTTTTTCCTATCTTCTTATACCTGCATGTTTGTACACTTGATAACATTGTCAACATGTTTGTCTCATTCGCTTCTATTCACATGAAAGCTATCAGTATCAAACAATAAATGTAAATCCAAATAATTTCTGACGGTCTACAAGTAGAAAACTCAAGCAAGTGTGAACTCATACATAAACTTGATCATGTTTGAGACAAGATAATAATATTCTCCAATTTAGATTCAATTGAAAACATGAATTTATGTATGCTTTTTGTTTCGCAGCAGAGCAACGTTAACATGGAAACAGCTTAAACTACAGCATGTATCGGCTCCAGCAGAAATCTCATAAGCCACTGTCTTCCAAAAGCTTTTTTGTCACAACACCACAAACAGACCCTGCAGAAAAGAGAACAAGCAGTTTGAAATAGGAAGTTTTCTCATTTAATTTGGAAGTCAGGAGGAGGAGTGGAGAGGTAGGGTCCGGGTTGCTTGAGGTCCAGCATGAAGTGGTGATTTTGGTGCGTCATATCATCAGGTTCAAAGCACAACTATCTTTTATTCACAATACATTTCATGCATTATGGATTTCCCAGGTTTAATTTTATATCAAGAGCTGACACATGCCTCTGCTGCCAAAAATACTTATTCTTGCTATAATGATTATATCACTGTTTTTATGCCAAAGTATTACGTTATGTCCTACAAAATCAAAGGAAGATGGTGACCTTAATAATTGTTCAGTATTAATCACACACATGCAAAGTATTGGTGTAAATAATCCTTCCAATGTTCTTGGAGAGAATTTGTTTGTGTGCAGCTGGAGTTCACTGTAATTAGCTTTTAAAAGATTATAAAATTTTGAGTGCAGTCAATAAATCCTAATATTTTTCACCTGCACTCCCAATTCTTCAGTGTGCAGCAAAAACAAAAACATCAAATACAAGCTCTTTGAGGTTTATTGTGCCATATGGTTTTCTCCGGTGTCATAAAATTTCCCTTTCGGACTTCTCACTTTAACGCACATACACGTACCGACGTATATCACAAATAACGTAGAGAAGCTCTTCGCTCGCCCCAGAGTCTATCACCCACTCTATAAAGCTATTTGTTTGATTTACAGCGTAAGAAGATCCCGTAAGAGAGATTAAATTAATGGGGTAATTATACACTGTAGCCCAAGTATGATTTAGCTAACTGACAAACACGCGCACATCCACAAATCACATTTGTCCCTGATGGGACAATCTCTGTCTGTGCCCAGAGAACGTCTGCATGTCTCGCTCACGTCTGGTCCCGCTGCCTCAGCCAGATCCCCAGATTCCCCTTCCTCCCGCCGCTTTTGTAGAGACACTTTGTGTCCTCCAGTCATCCCATCTCTCTGTCTGCCTGCCAGACGCGGCCTGACCCGCTTCCAGTAGCAGCCTCCATGCTCAAGCGCAGACTCACAAGGGAGCTGCAAACATCACCGCTTGTGCAAATTCAGCGAACAAAGTGTTGCTGCTCTTCAAGCAGAGCACTAACCGCCCCAACCGGCTTCTGCCAGGAGGCGAATGCAGGCCATGTGTCAAGGCACGACAGTGTGTCCTGATTAATGCATTCTAGCAGTGCAATATTAGCCTTGTTTTTAATGGCACGACCTCAGAGAGCGCGGTGCTGTCACCACTCACCAAGGAGGTTTTGGAGGACAGAGCAGCAGGAGTATCGCCTATCTGTCCACATCATGCCCAGCGAATGTTACAGGCTTTAAAGTCCCGAAGCTGTATGTTTCCACTCTTCATAAAACTGAAGGGAGGAATGAGCAAAACGTAAACGCTAGCGGTTCTGTATCATAGTGATGAAAGGCTAAAAGAGACGAGCTGGAAGTTATCAAGAGGCACAAGTCATAAAAACATAAATATCTAAAGGTGCAGGGTGTCTTTTACATTGTAGTAGAGTTTATTGTTGCTAAATCTAAAATCTCCAGCGAGGGTCTTCAGTAGGGTCTTGCTGAAGGCAGTTGAATGTGTATCTGATGTTGTCTTATTGATGTTTGGTTTCTGGTTTTATGCATTGATACACGTGTTTTCTTGTGAAGACTGATTGCTTGCTTTGTGAAGGACTCTTTCATGCTTAATGACTCCGTCTTCCACACCTGCAGGCCTACAGATGTTCAGCAGAAGGTAGACAAGCTTCAGCTGAGGCAGTGTTTTCACCTCGTTCAACATTCAATCTCTCCGTCTTTTCCTTACACTCGCTAATCCAACATTTCGAGTCTCCATCTGGTAACTTCGTATTTGCCAATGCAGCAATCAGGTTGTGTTCTCTGAATGATTTTGGTTGATGGTTGCCTTGGGGGAAAGAAAGCGCAGAGGTGTCAAATAATTCCCACATTACCCAGTGGAAACTGGGAAGGCAGCGGAGGGAAATGCATTGCGGTTAGAAATGCAGCTAGAGGAGAGCTAGTAACCGAGCAGATGAGTAGCTTAGAGCGATCCCAAAAAGGACTGTAGCAAAGCTTTAAGTCTCAGAGGAATTTAAAAGCCACAGAAATCCAGTTGTGGATATTAAGAGGATTAATCTAAGAGCGTGCTGAGGCTGAGTTTTGCTATGTGGAGCCCATCACTATCATCCTTGACAGAGGTTAGGGAAGGGGAGAGGGGCAAAAGTGAATCAGAAGGAAAATGAGAACACTGGTGGGAAAATGAAGCTGAGTTTCTGAAAGAGGTCATCTGTAGAGTTAGACATCAGCTTAATTCACAATTTGTCGGTTTTCTCTCTGTTAATCTACACTCTTGTTCCATCCATCCACCCACCACCAACAAACCATTGCCAAAACCGCTTCAGCTGCTCCTTTCGATGTGGAGAAGCAGCGGCTCTACTCTGAGCCCCTCCCACTTTCTCACTCTTTCTCTAAGGAGCAGCCTGAACTCTCTGCAAGAGTGTACAAATCACAGCTACCGTACGGTGACTGGACACATCTAGGCTGCAGAAGCTTATGTTGATGGATGAAGCAGCTTGTGCTGAGATGAAACTCATAATGATCAAGCTGCAGATATCTCCCAGGATGGTGCATTACTGAAATCCACACAAAGAAACTTTGTGGTTGATGTGCATGTGATTGATTGAGTGATTGATTGATATATTGCGTCACTCATACAAAGAGCTTTGTTTTGTACAAAACATGCTCCAGTCACTCTTGATAGCACTGTTGCTTTGTAGCAGAAAGGTCCTGGATTTCAAGGAGATTGCATGTTCTTCCTGTGTATATCTGCATTCTTATATATATCTGTTAGATCATCTGGTTAGTCTAGTGTGTACCTGTTTAGCTGTTTGTCCTGTGCATCCCTGTATTGCCCTGTGATGGACTGGTAACCCGTCCAGGAAGCTCCTTGCCACTCGCGCATTGACTGTTGGAAATAGACACAAGTTCCACCCTACACTGTCAAGAAGTCTAGTCTCAATAGACGGATGGATTCAAAGGTGTTTTGATGCTGATTTGAGATTTTGACATGAACATTTGATTTCCATTTGATACCATAATCCAGTCATTCTTACCATTTCTGCTAAAAGTTTTTTTTTATATTATTTGTATTCTGGGAAGAAGCGAAGTCACATCATGTGTGTGAGAAACAAGTAGCTTTAAAATGGAAATACTCATTTTAAACAAAGGAAAAAAAAAACATTCAATACTTCACTCAAGAACAACTTCCACACTAAAGAGTAGTGTTGTTGTCAGTGCAACCTTTGACTGCTTAACTATGATGTGTTAATCGACCAGAAAAAGTTTGGATTTTCAAGTTTCCCACGGAATGGTCATTAGGCAGAATAGGAGAAACTGCAATCTGGATTTTTTTGGCGGAAAATGTGTGTATTAATTGGACCCAGGGTCAAAACCTTCAATTTGGAGACATGTATTGTGTGGCCTGTTGTTAGAGGAAAAAGGGGGGAGTTTACAAACCAATGAACTGTAAATACAGTGTGTTAATGTCTGGTTTAAAAGGTATAAATGTAAACTGACCAAATGCAGCTGAATATGCCTATCTGAATGTAGTTTCATTTCACAGGAAGAAAAACCTGCACAAAATACGCTGGAAGAGCTACATCTTTAACCGATTTTCTCTCTCACCTTAATTTCTATGCATGTACAGTAATTTTACAAATTATTAGGCAGCATAAAAGCAACCTGACATTGTTTAACTCACACAAAATGGAACATAAACATATAATTATGGTTTTGTTTGTGTTTGTCCTTGTTTTATTGTTTAGGAGGCATTAATCGAGCCGGGGCAGCAGTGCCGACGTTCCTGCGGACCCCCACGGTGATCCAGCCCCACCTGGACATGAAGCCCTTCCTACAGTTTCCTATGGAAAGCCCACCTCCTCCGCACAGCATGAGTCTCTTCCACAACTTCAACACCGTAAGAGCCGACACGGATCCAGGCAAACACGACATGCTGCAGGCTTTTAAATCGTCCACTACAAGCAGAACATAAACCAATTTCATCACAATTACATGGGAGTATATTGCTGCACCACACAGCTGCAGATGCATGTGTTGGAATCAGAAATCCGTCTTTCAGTAGTTACATTTTAATATGTGAAAGTGGATACGCAGCCTGATAGGGTTGTATCTTAGCAGGACTTTCCCAACTCACTAATACCTTATGTGCAAACACTTCGCCTTGCTGCTAAAATCAAAGCGCAATAATTAAAGAGGAGCTCTGAGGTCATCCTTGTAGCTGCGCACTTCAAACCCAGCAGTTTGTTTGAAGTGGTGTGCACCCCGAGTGAGCAGAGAGGGATCTTCCCGCTTCCTCTTCCCTCTGGCTCTAACTAGCATCAGTCTGAGAAGGCCGCAGAGACATTCAGCATCTCACCAGCTCAGCATAATGTGGAGTGTCTGCTCCTTTAGGCTCCAGCGAACAATGTCAACAGCTTTCTTGTCAGCAATGTGTAAAATCATTCCTGGGCCATGTCCCCGTGTGTCATCTGGGATATTTGGCTGCAGATTGCAAAAGGGGGAAACACAGCAGCGCCCTCCGACAGAATATCAGCGTGCGCTTTAAACATTCATGGCAATGCCGAGATACATTCTGCGCATTATTCAACATGCTTTAATAATAAAGACATTTTAATAGTCCTGGGTGGGCAATAAAACAAATGGAAGCATGTTCACTGCCAAACTGAGCTAAGTCACACGGCTCTCTATGCAGCAGCAGCAGCAGATGTGACTTTATGCAGACACTGGAATTATGCAAGCACTTCTTCTGCCCTCTCGTTCCTGTTGGCGGAGCCGTTTAATCCCTCTTTCTTTACTCTGACTTACTCCCTCTGGATCCTTCTTCCTCTCTCTCTCTTTAGTTGAGCTTTTTGTTCTGTCTTTCTCCTCCCCATCCTCATCTTCTGTGAGTTAAGTACGTCTGAAGGTCCACAGGGATTCAACGGATGTTAATAGCTGTTGCAGCTGACTGCTGAGAGGCAGCAGCAGAGGTGTTTTTCAGGTCTGCGGCCAGGAGAGGGAGCCATAAGGAAGGGTTGGAGGACACTCTGACCTTATAGTATGACAGACTTTCCAACACAGGACTTTGTCGTTCATTTCACAGAAAACACATGAGTAGTTTTTAGTTGACATTACTCATTTACATTTACTTGAATAATTGTTTGTAAAAATGTACTTTCAGGGGTAGTTTTACAGTATTTTGACTTGAGTAATACAAAGTATCGCTACTCTTACTTGAGCAAACGTTATTTAACCACAATCCCATGAGATGCAGACACTTGAAGTTAATGTTAAAGCGAGCCTTCTTGTAAATACACAAGCTTTGTTGTTCTAATATTATTTTGTATCTGCTGAGTCTTCTGAGACATTTGGAAATCAAAGAGTAAATACTTATATATAATCCTCAGAAGTCCCCTGTCCTATTCTTAGACTGTATGCAATACTACTATTACAAAGGATTTATATTAATGAAATTTGTTTTGCTCAATTGCTTAGTCCTTGAGGAGCATTTATGCAAAGTATTTTTTACATGAGTAAAAATATGTTGAAGTTGTTCTATTCTTGTGTACTCTACCCATCTTCTAACAGCTTGTACATTGTTTCCAGAATTACAGTACAATACTACAGAGTGTGACTTAAACACGTTTGGTTTGAATGTTTAGCAGAACACAGTTAACTGCCTGAAGCTGATCTTGCAGTAATTTTGCATTTACCAGGCGCTTTGTGAGAAGAAAGTCGACAAAAAAAAAGGAAACTACTGATGTTTTGCTGCGGAGGAAGTCGTAGCCCTTGGCATTCCAAGACGTTTTATATTTGTGTATTCTGCAGATGAGTACATTTCTACAGCAGGATTCTTATACAACTTCTAGATGCCCCTCTGCAGCAGCAATTTTAGATGCAAAGATATTTTTAATGACGAGGTTGCGGTTTAGCAGAGCGAATTGTTCCCCGTTCATCTAATAGCTGGTACTTCTGTCAGTCTTTTTTAAATATTTGATCTGTTCTGAGTTTGTGCAGCTATAATGGAACCCCACTCCACACTGACGGTTATTAGCCTCATAGCCGAGCAGAGGAATGGCATTTCCTAAAGCCAAATACAGCCTTAATTGTCCTCTAATGGGATTTGTCCTCTAGCTGCTTGTCTCACTAAATGTGCCTGTAGACAGTGATGAGGCTGACTTATATTGTAGCTCTAGGTTGTCCTGATGGTAGACAAGCACTGTTTCACTTTAGGTCTGAAAACCCTCCACTCATGTCGGGCTCCTAAAGCAGAGCGATAAAATACTGGAGTTTTAAGGCAAAAATAGTCAGAGATTTTACTGAAGAAGAAAAATCTCCTGGAAAACATTTCATTCACTCCTCCAAAGGACTTATCAGTGGCATAACTCTGTCTTCAAAGCTCTTGTGTGACAGTGCGAATCTTGAATATTTTCATTTAATATTTCAGCTTTTAGAATGAGCAATCAAAAGACTCCTCCTTTATGTTACCTCTCCACCCATGTGTGGTACAAGCTCATTCTTGCAGTTTTTTTTTCTAGCTAATGGCTAACATTTATAAGCTTTATTTAAATTCTCAAAAGGTTAAAGTATTTGGTTGCAAAACCTTTTTTTTTTTTTTACTATTTGTACATTTCTGTTACGTTTGTGCACTTTTTATATATAACTGAACAAAAAACAAACAGAAGCTGACGGTATGTTTTTACAGAAACTATTGGTGATATGATCAAAGGGATCTAAGCTGCTTCAGCTAGTACTGAATGAGTAATAATAATTAAAAAGATGACGATCAAACCCGAGCACAGGATTACGAGACAAAAAGGGAGAGCAAATTCATTAACACGTTTAACAGGAAAAACTGCTATGGAGGACGACAAATAAAAGAAGTTAAATTACCAAAATAAAAAAAAGCAAAACAGCTAGACTCTTTTAAAGCTATGCTAAAACTAAAACTCACGAAAAAAAATAAATAAAAAATACATAAAAGACATTGAGTCCAAAACAAAACTACAAAATTACTGCAAAACCAAAGTTTTGATAATCATGAGACAATTGGTTCAGGAAATATTAAACTTAAATGTGTACATATTGCAGATTTTGATATTACTTGAAAGTTATGCATTGTATCTACAGCATAGCCCCCAGAAGCTTTATTGATTATACATATTTAAGCGTTTATTAAATATTTTTTTTATCAGTTTTTATAGTTGCAAAATGATTTCTAACATTTGACCGAATCACCTACATTTGATTATATAGGTACTTCAAATCATGAACGTCTACAACCCGGTTAGACGCAGTTTGTCTTAATTACCTTTTTCTCAACAGCAGCTAAATTTCCAGCTCAACTATAGATAAATCCGGATAATAAAACTACATTTTTAGCGTACCTCATCTGACAGCCCCTTACAAAATCCAATAGAGAGGCTCCTGAATTTCGAGGGTTCTTGGTACACAAAAGTTGACCAAAATAAGATTAACACCCCATTATTGTTGTGAAGTCAGGGTTTCCTACTTGGGATTGTGTTTTTTTTTTTTCAAGCTGACAAGCAAAATGTCTGAGTTTCAATGTGAAACACCCTGAAATTTGAATCCCTCTGAGTGCCAGAAATGCTTGAGTTTACCTCGGCAGATTTCCATGAGTTTTCCTGAGCTCTCGCATGCAAATAGCCAAACTAGAGCGAAAAAGAAAAACATGTCTGAAATATTTTATGAAGATTGTTTTCGAAATACTGATAACATGAACAGAAACTAGGAGATTCATGGACATGTTTTATGTGGGGAGTAACATACACTGTTTTTTATTACGCCAGAATTAGGGGATCAGCAAAAAAAAAAAAAAAGATGTCTGTGATGTGAACCTAAGGTGGAGGGCGGAGGGGGCCAGGGGTGAGGCAAAGGGACAGTTAGAAACTTAATCCGAGCATTTGGCTGGATGAAGAATGCATGAAGGGAAGGAGAGCGAGTGGGAGATGCAGAGACAGAAGGGGAGGAGAAAACTGGGAAGCAGAAGAAAATACGCTGGAGCGTGTCTCTGAGAGAAGTAGTTGAGTTGTACAGGAGGAGGAGGAGGCTGAACAACAGACCCAGGCACTTGATAGGACATGTGTTGAAGAGAAGGATTTCTGGTGCAGCACCGTGAAGAAAAGCAGAGATGTAAAAAAAACAAAAACAAAACAAAAACAAAAAAAAAAAACAGGATAGGTCAGAGCTGGGAATGCATCACTAGGCATTAAGCCTTGTTTTCTGAGAGTTTGTCGGCGCCGGGCACTGACTCACTACCAGCAGGCTGAATGAGTGAAGAAGGTGCACCACACACTTTCTGTCTCACCCATGCTGAGGCTCAAGCACTCACCTCAGAGAGCAGTGCAAACACAGGAGGAATAATGCAGCTTCAAACCTCCAAAGACACAGAGGAGAAGAGGGTGAGTACCAAATATCCTTTTCTTTCAAACTTTCACCCAACTGTGCTCGGATGTTTTGGATCAGTGCAAAGTGTCAGAGCAAATGCTTCAAAAGCTGCATGTTTCTCTTGCTGCCAGAATGGGTCTTGTGATAGTAAATAGTGCGTTTTTCACTGAAGAAAGCTAATTCCTTTGTTTTTGTTTTTGTCTGACTTGAGAAAATGTGCGAGGAAGTTAGAGAAGATGACAACAAAATTCACACTAAAGTGTAAAAGGTTTATGAGTTTTATGTTTTTGCGCCGAATTAGAAGATGATTTATTGTTGCTAAAGCTGTTTGAGTCATGTGGGGTTGTTGATGTCCTAAAACTGGTGGTTTTTGTGGCTTATCCACATCTGGCTGGGTTTTTACGAACTGGTCAAAAACATGTGTAATTTATTAACTTCTATCAGATTCCAGAAATACTACTTCCAAAATTTCTCATAATTGTGTTGCAAGTGGGGGTTTTGGAAAACCCC